GTTGCTGTTAATAAAAATATAAAAACGATGTAAAATCAGACCCACCCCTCTTGCATTCTCTTCATAGTTTCACCCAATTGCTCCACAGCTCAGTCAGTCTGCTGCTGACTCCTGCTTCTGTCACCATCATGTAATTCCAACGCTCTCCTACTCCCTCCCCCCTCAGCTCCTATCCTTCTCACACACAATCTGCACTTCAGTTCATCCTAACTGCTGTTGCCACGATCCTAGAGTGTCCCAATTTGCCCATCGCTCCTGTCTTTGCTGAACCCTAATGCTTCCAGTTTAAAGTTCATATCCTCATTTCATTTGCTGAATCATCCCTCTTTGTTTCCTACAGCTTTCCCCCCTGAATTCTCAGTTTCTTTGATGCTTGCTACTTCCTGTGCTTCACCAAATGGAATAGAATAGAATTAGGTTTATTGTCACATGTACTCAAGTTACAAAAGAACAGGAGTACAGTGAAAAGTGCACAATGTCGCCAACACATGTCGCCATCTTAGGTGTTCTCCCAGCTGCACAAACTGTGGACACTGGTTTGCTCCATAAACCTCCATTTCTCTTTGCCTCTTCATTCCTCTTTGAAGATCTTTGAGGTATTTCGTGAATATTAAGGAAGCTATACAAATGCAAGTTCTTGTAGCCATCAGGCCAAAACAACGATAGTCACACGTGATTTTGACAAAGGTAAATGTCCCCTACTTATCCTTCTCAAGCTGTCTGCAGAGCTTGCCACCATCTTCCTCCAAATCCTCTTTATTTGGCGTGGACTGGTTAGACTGAAAGGTCTGTTTCCGTGCTGTATGACCCTATGACTTTTTCAGTATTATCCACCTGGGGAGATTGCTTTCCCGCAGACCCAATCTTCTCTTCCTTTGTCTGTATCGTCTGAGTCTGTCAAGGATCTGTCCTTGGCCTTGGCCTATTTCAGAACTTTGTTGTGCACCTCAGCAACAAGATTCAAAACACATTGATTTTAGCGTGCGTGAGACACCCAGCTTCGCCTCAGCACTGCCTCTCTTGATGTCTCGACTGTCTCTAAATTGTCAGACTGTCATCTGACATGCAGGACTGGGTCAGCAGACATTCCCTGTAATGAAATACTGGGAAGACTGAAGCTATTATTTCTGGCTTGTTTACCACTTATCTCAGCTCTCTACCTTGCATTTATATCATTCCAATGCATTTAGTGCAGTGAACTACAATGAAAATTCAAGGGTATTGTGGTCAGGTTTAAAATTGAACTCATTTACAGTGAAAACAGCTTATTAAAGAAAGTCTTAAAACGTAGGCATATCTTAGTCACATCCTGCTGCTTTAGTTGAACGTGTCACGATCGAATCTCCTCACAATCTCAGATCAACAACCAAAGAACTGACACACCTACAAAATGTGCTTTAATGCTGGAAAAAAAACCAGAACAGCAAATATGCTAACATGCAAAACAATGGTTAATTCTTCCAGTGAGGGCCCTTTGTCTGTTTAAGCCCCTGCCCTGACACAGAAAATGAGAGATTTGGCACCACCTTGTGGTCAGGGATGCTGACACCACTGCATCAATAAAATTGGAAACAAAGAACTTAGATAATGTCTCGAACAAGAACAAACGTTCAAGGCCTAGTAGACAGCTATTGTCTAGACTAAAACTGGATGGGGCTGGACCTCTCGGGGCAGGTGCAGCTTCAGTCAGTAAGCTGTTATTTACAACGCTTGAGCCCTAACCAGGAATTTTGTGTATAATTTGGACTGGGACTATATTGCCCTTCAGGTGAAATGCAAAACCAAGGCTGTATTCTGCATAGCCTTTGGTTTAGAAGATTTCATACAACAACCGAATACTCTCTGACCTGGGTAATATCCCTCCTTTAACAAACACACGAGGGAAAGCAGTTTAACTAGGGTTGGGTAGGTGCACAGGGGAGGATGTGGCCCTGTTTAGTCTCCAGACTGATCCACATTGATAAGACAGCCTCTGATTCTGTGTGTACATGCTCTGATTTCAAGACAAACAGCCTACATCACCCAGACTTCTCAGCTGAGACAATGGAATTGGGCAAACATTTCACAAAATTCCTTTGCAGTACAATGTTATCACAGACATCAACACTGAGGGGAATTTTGAGTATAATTCCGTTGCGAGTGGGAACTGGTCAGAGTTTCTATGATTTGCAGTCAGCTGCACTGAGCACACTTGGTGACCAAACAGGGATCTTAACGTTTAATTGGGTTTGTTGTTGGAGATTTAGCATTGCCTGGTAATGTTCAGAGAATGCTCAACAATTGCACACAACCAGTCTTCGAGAACAAAAACAAAGTTACTGGAAAAGATCAGCAGGTCTGGCAGCATCTGTGAAGAAAGAAACAGCCACCATCAGTTCTGAGGAAGGGTCACCAGACCCGAAACGTTAACTCTGTTTTTTCCTTCACAGATGCTGCCAGATCTGCTGAGCTTTTCCAGCAACTTCTGTTTTTGTTCCTGATTTACAGCACCCGCAGTTCTTTTGGTTTTTATCCAGTCTTCTAGAGCCTGTTGAAGCTATATAAGACTCCAGTCAGACCGCTTTTGGCATATTGTGCACAGTTTTGGGCCACGTATTTAAGGAAGGATGCACTGGCCTTGGAGGGGGTCCAGAGGAGGTTTACAAGAATGAACCTGGGAATAACAGACTTGTCATAGGAAGAACGTTTGAGGACTCTGTGTCTGTACGCAAAGTTTAGAAGGATGAGAGGGGGATCTGATTGAAACCTTACAGAATACTGAGAGGCCTGAATAGAATGGACGCGGAGAAGATGTTTCCACTAGTAGGAGAGACTAGGAACCAAGGGTACAGCCTCAGCGAAGGGACGACATGAGACATTGTGTTATGTCTCATGTGTTATTGATATCATCTCAGCTGATCTATCCCAGGGAGTGTAGGAGTGCTTATTTGCCTTTCCATCACATCGTCTGAATACCTTCTTTATGAATCCCAGATTTTGAACAGGACATCAAATTAGAGTTAGGACATTCAGGAATGTCTCAAAAAGTGTCTTTTCATTGAAAGAATGGTGGAAATCAGAAAGTCTCACTCCTACAGAAAGCTTCTGAGACTGGAGCTTTAATTAAAATAAAAATCAAAATGGAGTCTAATACTGCTAGATAAAAGCATTGAAGGAAATAGAGTTAAGATACAGATCATCCATGAGACCACAAGATGAAGAAGCAGAATTAGTTCATTTGGCCCATCGTGTCTGCACCACCATTTGGTGAAGACTGATATGTTTCTCAAACCCATTCTCCTGACTTCTCTTTGTAACCTTTAATCCCATTGCTAATCAAGAACCTGCATCTATCTTAAATACTCAATGACTTGGCCTCCATAGCCCTCTTCTGGCAATGAGTCTCACAGATTAACTACCCACTGGCTAAAGAAATGTCTCCTCAACTCAATTCTAATGTGTCGTCCCTTCGCTCCTAGTCTCTCCCACTAGTGGGAACATCTTCTCCATGTCCATTCTACTTAGGCCTCTCGGTATTCTGTAAGTTTCAATCAGCTCTCCCTCTTATCCTTCTAAACTTTGAGTACAGAGTCCTCAATCGTTCCTTCCATGACAAGGTTCATTCTTGTAAACCTCCTCTGGAACCCCTCCAAGACCAGAGCATCCTTCCTTAGATACTTGGCCCAAAACTATGCACAATATGCCAAAAGTGGTCTGACTGGAGTCTTATATAGCCTCAACAATACATCTCTGTTCTTGTATTCTACCCCTCTTGAAATGAATGCCAACAATGCATTCCTAAGCTCCAGCTGAAACTGCATGTTAACCTTAAGAGAATCCTGAACTTGGATTCCTGAGTCCCTTTGTGCTTCAGATTTCCAAAGCCTTTCCCTGTTTAGAAAATAGTCTACGCTTCTATTCTTCCTACCAAAGTGGACAACCTCACACTTCCCCACTTTGTATTCCAGCTGCCAGTTCTTTGCCCACACTCCTAGCCTGACAAAGTCATTCTGCAGCCTCCCCACTTCCTCAACACTACCAGTCTATCTTTGTGTCATCTGCAAAGCTGGCAACAATGACCTCAGTTTTTTCATCTAGATCATTAATGTATAATGTGAATAATTGTGGTCCCAATATGCACTTCTGCATTAGTCAACGGCTGCCATCCTGAAATATATATATTTTTCAGCTATACCTTGCCTCTAACACCACGGACTCTAATTTAGCAGCCTTCTGTGCAGTACCTTAATAAAGACCTTCTGGAAATCCAATAGATCACGTCCACTGGCTCTCCTTTGTCTAAGTTGCTTGTTACCTCAAATGATTCTAACAGATTTGTCAGGCTTGCCCACCCCTTGATGAAGCTGTGCTGACTCCAACCTATCTGACTATGCACTTCCAAGTATGCCACAATCTCATCCTTAATAATGGACTCGAAATTCTTAGCAACGACCAAGGTCAGGCCACTTGGGTTATAGTTTCCTGTTTTCTGCACCATCCCCCCTGCTCTCTTCTTAAATAGCAATGCTTCATTCACCATGTTCCAGTCCTCTGGGACCCTCACTGACTCCAGTGATTTTTGAAAGACCGCCATCAATGCCTCTACAATCTCATCAGCTGTCTCCTTCTGGGGTGTAGTTTATCCAATCCAGGTGATTTATCCATCTTCAGACCTTTCAGCTTCCCCAGTACCACCTCCTCATTGATGTACACGCACCTCTGCCTCAGACTCTCCAGGTTCTGGTGTCTTCCACTGTGAAAATGGATGCAAAGTGCCTATTCCGTTCCTCCACCATTTCTTTATTCCCCCATTACTACTTCGCCTGCCTCATTTTCCAGTAGTCTAATGTCCACTCTTGCCTCTTTGTTTACCTTTGCGATATCTCAAAAAAAAGTTGTAATCTTCTTTCATATTACTGCCATCCTTACCTGGCCTGTCCATGGGACTCCAGACCCACAGAAATGTGGTTTACTCTTAACTGTCCTCTGGATAATTAGGAATGGGCAATAAATGTTGGCCTAATCAGTGATGCCCTCATCCAATGCATGAATCCGAAAAAAAAACTATCAAACCACTCACCTCCAATACAATTGTAATGTAAGGATCTATAATCGGTGTGGCTAACAGAAATGCTTTTGAGAGGAAAAATAAACATGGAAATGACATCTGATATTTAAGATGAGAACATGTCATTCTTTGTGTTATGTCATGCCAGGTTTAATTGATATTTTACGCCAAGGGACATGGAATCACAACTTATAAGTTTATAGCACCAAACAGGGCAATGATGAAAGCTTACTATTTTGACAGGGGGTCTTTTTGGTTTTTTAGTGAGACCACTGTCAGATTCAAATTCCACTCTCCAGGACTTGTTGGCCACAGAAGGAGCATTCATGACAGATCAACCTGTTTCAGTTATTCAACATTGAAACATTAGCAATTTCCCAACTATTCCCAAAAGCGGGGAAAAGATTTGTGTGAAGGAATGGCCTACCTCAGCAAATGTTTTTGGTGGAAGAACACTCTTTTCAAATGGATCATTAATCAAGACTTCAAAATTCTGATACTATGTCATACCGTACTATGAAAATGCTGCATGTCATATTTTAATATACCAGTTTTCAGCCCCTCAAGCTTAAAGATGATGTAACTGCTATTGATAATGAATTCAAAACCCAATTGTACTTGTCTATATTTATATTTCTAAGCATTGTCAACAAGCAAAAGAACAATGAACTGTCTTTGTATATAGAAAATTGATTAAAGGTGGGAATATATCTGAAACTCCACTGCTCAGTCTGATTTTCCAAACCACAATTTTCTTCCTCAGTGTTGTAGCCTTGAGTGTAGTTATATTTTCCCTCTGCACTCATTGATTCAGTGTATTTAACAGATTTATAACCTCAGTCAGGTTTTCAAGTTTGGTATTTGCAATTGGGCCAGATACATTTTCAGCTAATGCAGGATTGTGCACTTGGGGGTCAGCAGCTCTTTAAAAAGTTCAAAACTCTCCCTAGGCTGTTGCCATGAGATAGCCAACTTCCATCAGCATCAAACAATTTTTCATGTCCTCCACCCACTTCTGAATAAAGCTTGCCAAATAACAGGTGCATTTACAGATCTGCACTTCACAAAACCCACAGCTGCATCTAACAGTCTCTAGCTCAGGTTTCATTCATATTGAAACAAGGCTTGGTATGCAACACTCACTACGTCATCATTATCTGTGGGTTTACTTGTTTTATTTCTTGCAACTATGCCTGTGCTAATGCCATCACAGCAGCACAGTCTGCAAAAACAATGTTTTAAGTTTTCAAGATGTGTAGCTCAGGTTGTGGATGAGGTTGTAGACATGTGGTGAGTTTGGTTGCAAACGTTTTGTAACCCTGCTAGGTAACATCGTCAGTGTGCCTCCAGTGAAGTGTCTGTGTTCTATCCAGCTTGTTATTTATATGCCTCGGTTTGCTGGGGTGATTGGTATTATTTCCGGTTTTGTTTCACAGTGGTTTGTACACAGGGTCTAATTCAATGTGCTTGCTTCCAGGAATTCTTTGACGTGCCTCTGTTTGGTTTGTGCGATTATCGATGTGTTGTCCCAGTTGAATGTGTGTCGCTCATTGTCCATTTGTATGGAGGCGAGTGAGAACTGGTCCTGTCTCCTGGTGGCTAGTTGGTATTCATGTATCCATATTGTCAATTTTCTTCCGGTTTGGCCTATGTAGTGTTTCTCACGGTCCTTGCATGGTACTTTGGATATTACCCCAGTTTTGCCGGTTTTGGGTATGGGATCCTTTACGTTCGACAGTAGCTGTCGTAAGATGGTTGTCGGTTTGTAGGCCACTCTGAAACACTATATAGGCCAAACTGGAAGAAAATTGACAACATGGATACGTGAACACCAAGATATACAACCAATTCTCTCTTGTCTCACTACACACGGACAACGAGGGACACAAATTCAACTGGGACAACGCATCGATAATTGCACGAACCAAACCGAGACACACCACAGAATTCCTGGAGGCCTGGTATTCCAACCGGAACTCCATCAACAAAAACATGGAATTAGAACCCTGTGTACAAACCAGTGAGAAACAAAAGCAGAAATAATACCAATCACCCCAGCAAACCGAGGCATATAAATAACGAGCAGGACAGAACACCAATGCTTTACCGGAGGCGCATTGATGTACTCAGCACGTTGACAAAATGTCTGTAACCAAACCCACTGGCTCGGCGAGCATGTCTACAACCTCAAACGATGTTCTCCTTGATAAATCCAGACAACCGAATTGTCCAACAACTTCGCTATTTCTTCACTGCTGCGTATTAACAACTGACAAAAATTAAATTTTTCTGAAATGTCCCCAACCAAGGGGCGGCACCATGGTTAGCACTACCGTCTCTTAGTGCAAGAGACCCTGGGTCAATTCCACCTTCGGATGACTGGCTGTGCGGAGTTTGCACATTCTGCCCATGTGTGAGAGTTTTCTCCAGGTGCTCTGGTTTCCTCCCACAATCTAAAGATGTGCTGGTTAGCTGTACTAAATTGCCCATATGTTCCAGGGATGTGTAGGTTAGTTGGGTTAGCCATGAGAAATGCAGGGTTACAGGGACAGGGTGGATCTGGGTGCGATGCTCTTTGGAGGGTGTGGACTCGTTGGGCCAAATGGTATACTTCCACACTGTAGGGATTCTGTGAACAGCAGCCGGAAGAATAATGCCTTTGATCGTACCTATTTTCTTGCTCTCAGTAAGCTGAAATTCAATGAAGAGAAATGCTTTCAAGGCTATTTCAGAACAGATATGATCTTTGTATGTTTTGATGATTGATTTACATTTTTTTTTATTCAAAGTCTTTATATTTGTGGGGTGTTATTAGAAGCAATATCTTTGACCACGTTTTTAGACACATTCCAAATATCTTGCATCTTGGTTTTGTGTGATTGCACTAGCGTGAAACTCCATGGAATGTTTAACCTGTATGAAATCAAGGTGTTTGGATCATCTTATTTGAAGAGTGGATCTTCCATAGGACAGCAAGAGAGCAAGAAGCCAGTCTAAAATATGTTCTCATGTCCTGCAGTGGGGTTTGAACTCATGACCTGCTGGTTTGGCAGACAACAGGGTGAATGGCACTGAGAGAGGATATTTACTGAAGCCCCTTAAAAACCACGTTAACATTTGTCTCCAGGTGACTAAGGAAACCGTCAGCTGGCAAGGAGAGGAGTGGTGATCCAGGATAATCACTTAACGGCACTGGGAACTGCAGGGACAGTAAACACATCTGTGGAAAGTGGAGTATACCTTTTTTATTCAAAATTCACATAAGGGTAAAAATATCTGCAAAAATAACAAAAAATTTGATAGAATAAGGTGAAGCAGGTATACTTTTCATTTTAATATACCGTGAAGTCTGCTACCATTGCTTGCTCCATTTCGACACTGCTTACGCAGTGCACATATAGACAGTGGGACAGAGAGTCCCAGCCTCGGCCTCCCTCTGAGGCAGCTCATTATGTTTACACTGTACAGTCCCGGAAGCTGAAGGAGGAAGAAGCCACTTGACCCAACCAGGATACCGGAGGACAGGTGTCATTCTAAGTTGGGGGAGGGGGGTGTGATAAGCATCCCACACATGCCAAGCTTCAGGCAGGGATGCTTCAGCTGTCTTTCTCACTCTGCAGGGAAGCTGCAGCCAGCGTTACTGTGGTGACTGGCTGTCCTGTCATACCGTGGATTTGCATCTTGGCCAGTTTTTTCTGCTCACACTCTGTAACCAGGCGATTCAGCTCTGCTGCACTGTAGCCAATCAGCGTCTTCAAGTCACATACAAACTTATAGACGAATCTCTTCCCCTGGACTTTGCAGATCATATCTCCATCGTAATAATATCTATGAAGGAGAAACAACCAGAAATTCAATAGTACATGTGCACAAAAAAGTCCATCAGCCCTTCTTTAATCTACAAACCCAAGCTTGACATCACCTGATGTCTTTCTCCCACTATATTGTCTTCTCCAGCTCGTTTCTGTACTATAACCTTTGTCTTACAAGTCACGAAAGCATGGACCCATGCAGACAGGAGGACATAAAGTGGCACAGAGGCTTAAGGCCCTCTCTTAGCTATGAATTGGTAAGACACTCTCATAGGCAGCAGTCCAGGAATCAGAGCGTGCCCAGTTTTGAAGAAAAAAAAAATCACTGACGTGAATTTTCAATACGAGAATCTGCTTGCAAAGAGCCAGATTCATTGAACCTGACTGGCCAGTGATTTTACTTTCTATACTTTAGTCTCTGGATTTAAATGCATTGACTGAAAGTAAACAGCTTGGCTGCATGGGGTTGCCCATCCAGCACTATCTGGGGAGTCAGAAATGCTTCATGTGGCCAAGACAAAAACAAGTGTAGAAAGTGTCTCTCACTTCAAATACCTGAGCCTTAACTCAAGAGTAGATTGGAGTCACTGTGGTGCACCCTCAAAGCAGACATCTATCTGGATTGCAAAGTGGTCAGACTGCATATTAAGTGCATAAAGGCAGAGAGGGAATGTGTAACCTATGGGTGGCTAGGAAGACCAGGGAATAGACTCCAGGGTCTCCAGAACTCACTCACTAATTGTTTTTTTTTGCTTTTGATACTAGTGAGGATGATGCTTTGTCAGAGGAATGTAGCTATAGCTAAGCTTGTTGCACAACAAATGGCTCAGTTGCACAGGTACAGCAGAAGAAAAGTTGAAGGGAAATAGTGGGAGGCAATTCAAAATGTGAGGAACAGACAAAAACATTTCTGTGACCGTAGATGTGAATCCAGAATGGCATGTTGTTCCCCTCTATTGCCAGTTTGGAGGATGTCACAGAGCAGCTGCAGTCTGTTCTTTTCAGGGAGAGTAAAAAGGCAGAGGTTGTAGTCTACACTGGAACCAGGTGTAGTCCTGAAAGTAAAAATTTGGAAAGCTTGCTTAAGGCACACGAAGTAGGACCAGGAGCTGCTGAGTATGAAAATAAGGAGATTGAGCGAGCGAACACTCACTCACCAGGCTGGAGATATGGTACTTCTGGGGCACTGGGACCAGTTAGAACATAGAACATAGAACTGTACAGCAGAGTACAGTTGTGCCAAACTTTTACCATAAACCTAAGCTCTGTCTAACCTCCACCCCTACCTCATACTATCATCTAGTTCTGGGCGACCTGTACAAGAATGAGAGGTCATACCCTCACTGGGACTGTTATCACCACTGGGACATGCACTGATGATGCTGGGGAGAGTTTAAACTAATTTGTTAGGGGCAAAAATGGGAACCTGAGAGGGAATTCAGATATAATAAAAACAAAACTGGTTATGGGAACAAAGAAGTTGCAAATGAAAATGGAAAGCAGCGGAAACAAATTCTAGAATTAACCTGGGTCCAACTGCAGAATAGTTTTCAAAATGCCAAATTAAGGGCACTGTATCTGAATGCGGAGAGTGGCTTTACAACACAGTGATGCCAACAGTGTGGATTCAATTCCCACATCAGCTGAGGTTACCATGATGCACTCCCTCCTCAACCTCTCCCCTCGCCTAAGGTGTGGTGACCCTCAGGTTAAACCACCACTAGTCTAGTGAGAGAGCAGCCCCTGTGGCTGGTAAGACTATGGCAACTTTACCTTTACCTATCTGAATGCATGTAATATTTGTGACAGGGTAGGTGAATTGATGGTGCTGGTAGAAGGAAGACTGTCTGATTTAATGGCCATTATGGAAACTACAGCAGGACTAAGACTAGAAAGTGAATATTAAAGGGCGTTTGACATATAGCAAGGATAGGGAAAACAGAGAGAGATGCCGTAGTGCTGATAATAAGGATGGAATCAATGCACTAGTGAGACAGGATCTCTGATGGGAAAGGCTGGATGGAAAATCTGGTTGGATGGAGCTAAGAAACAGCAAATAGCAGCAAATGTCGGTAGGACTGTTTTACAGGCCACCATATGTAGGGCACAGTATAAAGCAGGAAATTAGTGGGTGTGCCCATTAACGAGTACCATTGCTGTGGAGGAAAAGATCCTGGACTGAGTCTGATATAATTTTCTGGAGCAACATGTTGAGGAATCAACTAGGACACAGACTATTTTGCATCTAATACCATGTACTGGAAAAAGGCCGATTATAAATATTGTGGCAAAAGAACCTGTAGGAAATAGCAAACACTATATGAATTTGTATGGAAATTTCCATGAAGTTTGAAAAAGATGACTTTAATCTGAAATTAGGGTTTTCAATCTAAACAAAGGCAAGTATAAAGGAATGAGGAGGAACTTGGCGGTGATAATTTGGAACAAATACAAAAAGGTTGAATGGTCAACTGGCAAAGGCTAGTATTTAAATAATTCTGAAGAAGGGAGTTCCGAATAAGGGTCACCAGATTAGAAATATTAACTTTATTTTCTCTCCACAGATGTGGACTTCTCTCCAAACCTGCTGACTTTCTTCAGCAATTTCTGTTTTTGTTTCAGATTTCCAGCATCTGCAGTTTAGTTTTTCGAAAAATAATTAATACATGGTTTCCAAAACAAAAATCATACATTCCTACGAAGTACAACACCACAGTAAGGACAATGAGTGGGACAGGGCTCACAAGGTAAGTTAGAAACAGAATTAGATCAGAGAAAGTGGCTTAAAAATTTGCCATAAATGTTCTAAACCTGAGGACAAGGTCAGAAATCACACTCACTTCACCTGATAAAGGGGCTACGCTCTGAAAGCTTATGTTTTCAAATAAGCCTGTTGGACTATAACCTTCTTCGAGCATGGAAAAAGGGAAAGATTAGCAAAGATAAACGTAGGTCCAATACAGACATAGATTACAAAAGAGTTAGTAATAGAAACAGAGGAACAGCAGAGAAGCTAAAAAGTACATTGTGTCTGCCTTCAGAGAAAGGCATAAGAAGTCTCCCTGAAATAATTAATATCCAAATATCATGTGAGAGCACAAAATACTTAGCTCCTAGTATTTCTCCCATCACTACACTGCTCCTCCTTTGGGCATGCTGAATTGGCTTGGTGGGTAACCTAGCTGTGCTGGATGCCTAAGTCACAAAGCTTAGCTAAACAAAGGTTTGCTCGTTGATTCAGTGAGTCGTACGGTGTGTGGTGGGAAGGTTATGGTGACCTGAGAATGGATCAAGAACTGAAAGACACTGTCTTATGGGAACTGAATGCGAGTCATCCAAGAGTCTCACCACTTCTTGAAAATGTAGACTCCAGATAAATTTATGATAACTGACACCAAATACTGAAGTGAATTGTCCTCTAATAACATCCAATCACAAATCATCTGCATCTCCTCACCCACCCTTTGCTATCTTGTCAGTACATTACCAGGGGATTGTTAACCCCCTATCCTCTTTCCTTCTCTTGGTACATAAGCTTGAAGAACAGAATGTGCTTATCTTGTGAGGGGAGAAAAGCTTGGCTTCGCATGGATATTTCTGTCAGCTTCCCCTAGCCCTTCCTCCTTGGGGTATGGATGCATTTTTCCAATTATGACAGGGTGGAGGAGAAAACACCAAACTGTAAACAGGATATAGAACATAGTATATTTGATAAATTTTCATACAACCTTTTTAGAGGATGGGAAAATAAACAAAGGAGAGCAGTCACCCCAGAATCTGTTTTTGATCATAATGTGAAAACCTGCTTCAAACCGTGATTTAGTTCCGAACTTAGAGAATGATAATGGGATTTAACCCGAGGAGGAAAAGACCAACTTAATATACAGCTACAACAGGGAGCAGCAAATCCTAAAGTATAATGCTACAATCCAAAAATCATGTGGGATGCGAGACATGTGGCAAAAGTGACAAAATTGTGTCTACACTATGTTCCGTTTTTGGGAAAACGTGCTGCTGAAAATGATCAATTTATCAGAGATTTGATTCTTTACTTGACCAGTGATTTGCCAATTTGATTTCAGCAGCTACTCAATAGGTCAAGCTGCATAGTTACAAAACAGAGCATTGAAGATGATGAGTGAGTTACCAGAAGGACACAAGACTATATTAAAGCAAATACTGAGGTAGCAAATCATGCAGAGAAGGAAAGTCTTGAGTCTGGAGGGCGCATAAGGCAGAGGGTTATGTGCAAAATGAACATTGAGGTCAATGTGTCCTTCACATAAAAGATTGCCAAATGGATTAGACTCCTGTGCAGGGCGGAGGAGACACTGACCTTAGAATCATTTAACACTTTGAAGCTATAATTATGGGAGACAGTGGCAGGTTGACTGTTCGCCCTGGGCAGATGAGCAGAGTGGTGTTTGCTACTTTTCTAGTCTGCGAAGTACAGGTAGTCATGCTATTACCCGTATTCCTTTAACGCAAATTGGCTGTAATGAATTGTTGAATGGTGGACGCTGTTTGGATAATACGAACTTTCTGCTGTACAGGTATAGCAATTTCCCTATAAAGTGATTTTCTACAATGCGAGGTCACACAAGAACGCAACTATTACATTATGGGACAACTAGGAGCAAATACAACTGTATCAGCTGGCATGGATAGTAATCAACTTCCAAAAGGAGTTATGAGATTCAATAATAAACTGAGCAGATAGCAAGTCAGTGGTGTTGAGAGCAAGTAGGGAGTGGGTGTGAGGCAGTATGGGAAAGGGAAAAGATGGGGAAGAGGCAGAGCACGAAAGAGAGAGGGTTAGCACATTCAATCGAGCAAGACTGAGTGAGCACACAAGACAGTGAGAGCATATTGAGACAGCGCAAGGAAGACGGCCAGAGAGAGACAGTGCAAGGAAGAAGGCCAGAGAGAGACAGAGAAAGAGAGAAGGCCAGAGAGAGCAAGTGTGTGCAAGACAGTGGAAGCGAGAACGTGCAAAAGAAAACGAGAGGCAGCGTGCACGTGAGAGGCAGCGTGCGAGAGAACAAACATATACGAGAGAGTGAGCAAATGTGTGAGATTGAGTGCGTGTGCAAGAGAAAGCACACGGCTGTGGGGAAGAGACAGACAGTGTACCCAGGTACGAGAGATACAGTGACATCTTAATGAACTGTTGGCTACACCACATAACTGTGAACCACCTGAAAGCACATATTCCCATCAGTGAAACTGATCTGTACAATTGAGTTATAAATAAATAAGTCAGGAGACTAATCTTTTCTCGGTTCACTCACCTAAGTGCTCGACTCAGTTTCTCATAGTTCATAGTAGGCTTGTTTTTGCGTTGACCCCATTTCTGGGCGACCAACTCTGGCTGATTCAGCTTGAACTCCCCTTCATCCCCCACCCACGAAATGCAATCTCGAGCGTCTTTGTCTGTTAGAAGCTCCAGGAGGAACTGCCAGAGTTGGATCTGTCCATTGTTACCTGAAGGCACACATCAGAAACACATTATCTCACACATTTCTGCAATTGGTGCTATGTACACAACAGGATAAATCATCTTTTTGGTTTCTGGGAGATACCTATCATCTTCGTGTTTTTAGGATAGCTATCTAATAGTTCTTTGAAAATAGACAATTTATAACCTAAGGGCATGGACAGCCAATCATAAAATGTGCACTGCACACGTTCCACATTTCCAACCTGATTCATGCTTTTTGCTGGATTTTTGTGGTGTTTGCCTGTAAATTGTCCAAGTTGTTAATTTAAGTTTCTTGAAGTGCTATAGGAGTATTTAAACTCTGTCTCTGGGCTGCTCACTAAATCTGTTCTGATGAAAGCCACTGAGCTGAAACTCTGATTCTCTCCACAGACACTGCATAACCTAAGCTTTTTCCAGTATTTCTGTTTTTTTAAATTCGTTCATTTATGGAAGAGGGCATTGCCTCTTCCTTATTGCTTTTAAGGTGGTGGTGAGCTGCTACCTTGAACCAGTGCAATAGGTACATCCACAGCATTGTTAGGGAGAGAGGTCAAGGCTGATGACTCACAAATAATGAAGGAATGGTGATATAATTCAAAGTCAAAATGGCATAAGGACTGGAGGAAACCTGCAAGTGGTGGTTCTCCAATTCATCTTCTGCCCTTGTTCTTCTAGGTCGTAGAGGCTGCAGGTTTGGAAGATGCATTGGAAGAGCTATGGTTAGTTGTTGCTGTGCACATTGCAGCTAAGTACACACTGCTGCAACTGTGCATTAATGGTGGAAGCTGATCGAGTGAGCTGCTTCGCCTTAGTGTTGAGCTTCTTGAGCATTCAAGCTGCCTGCATCTAGGCATGTGAAGAGTATTCCTTCACATTCCTGCCTTGCGATTTGTAGATGTGGAATTTCAATACATACACATTTTTTGATTTGTTCAAAACCTAGCCCAACTTTAAACCAAAGGAGATTTTTCATGGTGGTCTGTCTTAGGGACCGTAACCTTGAAAATTCATTGCAACTTATTATGGTGACAAAACATTTTGGAGGAGCCTAGCCTGAGATTTTGCTTTAAATGAATGGGTGGTGGGATGGCAGAATGGAGAGTTGCCAAACCTCTGAATAGCCACCAAGAATTTCAAACCTGCTTCCAAGAGCTGGCTGACCCTGTACACATCAACCCAGAGAATGCTAACAGGATAATCCTCCACCAGGCTGAAGAGGAATTTATTTTTTGGGTAAATCCATCACGTGATATGGAACTGAGCCATTCTGACAAGAAGATCCAAGATTTGGTTGCCAGTCTGTGTTAAGTTAATACTCTTGGTTGGGCCATTATCGGTGTAAACAATTGGCCATAGCACTCTCCAATTAGAATGAGGAGATCAAAGAACAAAGCTTCATCCAATGATCTCTGCAGCAGAGGGTTCACATATATGGGTTTTCAAGTGAAAACAGGATAAGTTTCTCCCCTCATCCACTCCTCCAAGGTCAGACTGTCCCACGAGCCTACAAGTAAAACATGGCTACTCAGTCAAAGTTAATACACCCCCCAAAGCTGACTCGGCACTAAGATTAGCTCGTTTACAAGGAAGCACATAACTCGGCTCCCAGACCACAGAGTTATCTTGAGAAGGAAGCCCAAGCTTTTGCCTCTTTGGGTCACAAAGTGTGAACTCTCGGCAGGTCAAGTGGAGCGTTCAAATTTACACACCTATTGTCGCTGGTTAAGGGTTTATTCACCATCAAGGCATTACCACCACAAAGAGTCCTTTTCCAAAACATTAAGCATTAGAAAACTACACGGGATAAACAAATGAACAATAAAATACAAGCACAGGGTTGTCTATGCTTCAAGGATTGAATGGCCAGGCCACACAGCTGGATGTTTCCATTTCTATGCTACATCACCTTGCCTCTTCACAAATTCACAGCGGCAGAATTGTATTCTAACACAATCTGCAACCTCATGGTCCAGCATATCTCTCACTCAACTTGATCATCAAGTCAGGGACCTAGTCTAGTTCAATGGAGAGTGCAGGAGGGCATGCCTAGAGCAGCACCAGGCATACCTGAAAATGAGGTGTCAACCTGGTGAAGCTACCAAACAGCAAACACAGCAGGTGATAGACGGAGCTAAGTGATCCCACAGCCAACAGATCAGATCTAACTCCTGCCACATCCAATCGTCAATGGTGGTGGACAATTAAATAGCTCACTGCAGGAGGTGACTCCACAAATATCCCCATCCTCAATGAAGGAAAAGCCCAGCACATTAGCACAAAATACAAGATTGAAGCTTTTGCAGAAATCTTCAGCTAGAAATGCCAAGTGGATGATCCATCGTGGCCTCCTGCAGTAGACCCCAGCATTACAGGTACCAGTCTTCAGTCAATTCAATTGACTCCTCATGGTAACAAGAAATAGCTGGAGACACTGGATACTGCAAAGGCTATGGGCCTTGACAATATTCTGGCATAGTATTGAAGACTTGTGCTCCAGACCTTGACACTCCCCTAGCCAAGGTGTTCCACTACAGTTATAACACCGGTATACACCCAACAATTTGGAAAATTACCCAGACATGTCCTGTACGTAAAAAACAGAACAAATCCATCCCGACCAATTACTGACCCATCAGTCTACAGTCGATCATCAGTGAAGTGATGGAAGGCATCATCAATAGTGCTATCAAGTAGCACCTGCTCAGCAATAACCTGCTCAGTGATGCCCAATTTGGGTTCCGCCAGGGCCACTCAGCTCTTGACCTCATTACAGCCTTGGTTCAAACATGGACAAAAGAGCTGAATTCCAGAGGTGAGGTGAGAGTCACAGCCCCTGACATCAAGGCTGCATTTGAGCAAGAGTGGCATCAAGGAGCCCTAGCAAAACTGGAATCAATGGGTATCAGGGGGCAAACACTCTGGTGGTTGGAGTCATACCTGACACATAGGAAGATGGTTGTGGTTGTTGGAGGTTCGTCATCTGCAGACATGTCCTGATGCTGAGGAGTTCCTTAGAGCGGTGTACAAGGCCCAAACATCTTCACTGCTTCTACAGTAACATTCCCTCCATCATAAGGCCATAAGTGGGGATGTTCAGCACCATCCATGACTCCTCAGACACTGAAGCAGTCCATGTTTAAATGAAACAAGACCTGGAAAATATCTAGGTTTGGACGGACAAGTGGCAAGTAACATTTGAGCCACACAACTGCCAGGCAATGATCATCTCCAATAAGAGACAATCTAACTAAGGCCTTCTGATGTTCAATGGTGTTACCTTCACTGAATCCCCACTATTAATATCTTATGGTTACCATTGACTGAAAACTGAACTGGACCTGCCACATAAACACAGTGGATACAAGGGCAGGTCAGAGGCTCAGAATAATGCAATGTGTAAATCACTTCCTGACTCCCCAAGCCTGTCCATCACCTACAAGGTAAAGTCAGGAGTGTGATAGAATACTCCCCACTTGCCTGGATGAGTGCAGCCCCAACAACATTCAAGAAGCTTGACACCATCCACAATAAAGCAGCCCACTTGATTGGCACCACATCCACAAGCATCCACCCGCTCCACCACTGACACTCAGTAGCAGCAGTGCGTACCATCTCCAAGACACACTGCAGAAATTCACCAAAGATCCTTCAACAGCACATTCCAAATCCAAAAACATTCCATCTAGAAGGGCAAGGGCAGCAGATACGTGTGCACACCACCACCTGCAAGTTCCCCTCCAAGCCACTCACCATCCTGACTTGGAAATGTATTGGCATTCCTTCAATGTTGCTGGGTCAAACTCATGGAATTTCCTCCCTAAGGGCATTATGGGTCAACCTACAGCACATGGACTGTAACGGTTCGAAAAGGGAGATCAGCACCGCCCTCTAAGGGCAACTAAGGATGGGCAATAAATACTGGCCAGCCATTGATGCCCATGACCCAAAAATATTGAGGCATTAGTTTGTCACGAGATGAGCAAAAAGAACAGTTCATGGAAATGGAGGTAACCTTATACTCAGTAAATGGTTGGGATATGGATACAAGAAACAGAATTTGGATAAGGGCTTCATTCATTTTTGGCAGGAAGTGAAAAAAAGTGATGCTCCCCATGGATCTGTTCTAGGGCTTCTGCTCCTCAGCATCTTTATTAATCACTTTGATGATGGAATAAATGTTGAATATTCATGTTATCAGGGTGGCACAATACATCATTTGGATGGAAGCGGAAGCTGCAAAAGTATACAGACAGGCTAAATGAATGGCCAAACTTTGATAGGTGGAGTTAAATGTGGGTGAATGTGGATGTTGGAACACTTCCTTAAAGTGGTGAGAGAAGAATTTAGGTATTTGTGGGCAAAAATCACTAAGGGCTAAAACCCAGTACAACAGTATCCAAAAATCATATGGTATGTTGGCTTGCATCACTCAGACAGTCAGAGAAAGATTGGCCTTGGAAAGGGTACAGTGCAGATTCAGCGGAATGAGTGTGCAGCTGAAAGGTTAAATTATGATGACAGGTTGCATAAATCTGGTTTGTAGTTCCTTCGTCTTAGAAGGTTGCAAGATTATCTCAGCAGGTATTTAAAATGATAAAGATTCAATAAAATAGATACAGAATACGATTTCCTCCAGTGTGGGAAATCAAGTATCGCAATCTTGGAGCCGGGTCATTTAGGAGTGAAAGTCTTTGGATATTGGGTTAATTGCAATTTCAAGATTGAGATTAATAGATTTTTGTTAGGTAAGGGCATCAAGAAATATGAAGAGAAAGCAGAATCTTAGAATAGAACGCTGCAGCACAGAAGGAGGACATAAGTAATTGGAACAAAAGCAGACCACTTGGTTGCTAAAGCCTGCGCCACCATTCAACACAATCAAGATTGATCTCCCACCTCTACTTCATTTCCCTGTTCACTTGACATATCTTTAATGCCTTGAAAGATTAAAAATCCTGAACAACAATTCTAAAGATCCATAAGGCTCAGTGGTTAGCACTTCTGTCTCACAGAGCCAGGGACCTGGGTTCAATTCCACCCTTTGGCAACTGTCTGTGTGGAGTTTGCACATTCTCTCCGTGTCTGTGTGTTTTTCCTCCGGGTGCTCTGGTTTCCTCCCACAGTCCAAAGATGTGCAGGGTAGGTGGACTGGCCATGCTAAATTGCCCTGGAGTGTGCTTGGATGAGCAGGCTAGGTTAACCATGGGAAATACAGAGTTATGGTGATAGGGTCTAGTGGGATGCTCTTTGAAGGGTCATTGTGGACTTGATGGGTTGACCTATGATTTTATTCTAACCTGCTGATTGAAGAAATTTTTCCACATCTCAGTCCAAAATAGTTGAACCCTTATTGCGGGACAGAGGCCAAATTTCTAGACTCGTAAATCAAGTGAAAATAAAATCTCCCAGTATCTCCTTTGTTGAGCCTCTTCAGAATCTTCTATTTCAATTGGTTCACCCTTATTTTTCTGAGCTCCAGAGGAAAAATATTACACTCATCAAGAAAGAATGTGGTAAGTGGGCACTTAGAAATAATGATAGGATTGGCAGAATCAACATGGATTTATGAAAAGGAAATCATACTTAACAAACCTTTTGCCCTTTTTTTTTTTAAAATGTATGTAACTAACAGGATAGATAAGCGGGAACTAATGAATGTGACCTATTTAGATTTTGGTAATGTCCCACTAAGAATCCGAAATCTCTCAAACACATTTTACGCAAGAGGGATAAGATTTCTTTTAAAGCTTCTGTGTCTTAGTGAAATTTGGAAGCATGTTGATCAATGCATGAAGAATAGATAATTGTGTGATATTTTGCACCAGGATCACAATTTTCTCTTTTAAGCTATATGGATGAAGTGTTTCATAAAGTAAAAGTGAATGAGAAACAGTTCAGTGCAATATTAAGGGTCAGTCAGCTTGGTTCTTCTTGGTGGGCCACGAATGTGAGAGATTTTTTGGTGATACCCACCATGGTGGCATTGGACAGTACCTACGAGAAAGAGCTGGGAACTTTAATAAGCCACAGAGCTGATGTAAAAGCCAAATATTACAGATACTAGAAATCTGAAGTTAAAGCTTAATGCTGAAGAAACTGAGCAGTCCTGCAGCATCTGCCCGGTCTCCATAGGTACTGCCAAACATGCCGAGTTTCTCCAGAATGGCACCCCATAGTTAAAACTCTGCCCAATATCTCTGCTTCAAAAGTAATGTCTTTTCTTCATATATAAAATTGTTGCGAAAGATTGAGGGGTGACCTTATAGAGATTTATAAAATCATGAGGGGTATAGATGGGGTAAATGGTGTCTTTTCCCCAGGGTGGGGAATTTCAAGACTAAGGGGCATATTTTTAAGGTGAGTGGAAAAAGATTTAAAAAAGATAATGGGGGCAATTTTTTTTTTACACAGTGAGTGGTTCGCATGTGGAATGAACTTCCGGAGGAAATGGTGGATGCGGGTACAGTTACAGTGTTTAGAAGACATTCGGATAAGTACTTGAATAAGAAATGTTTGGAGGGATATGGGCCAAATGTAGGCTTGTAGGACTAGTTTGATTTGGGATTATGCTTGGTATGGACTGGTTGGACCGAAGGGTCTGTTTCCGTGCTGTATCACTCTATGACTCTATGACACACAGGAAGTCAGTAATCAAAATTAGAGTAAATGGGATCAGTGGGCAGGGGATGGGGAATTGAAAGAGACATACTGAAGTGAGTTGAGAACTAGTTAATGCACAGAAAACAAAGAGAAGGAATTAATGTTTTTAGTTTCAGGAAGAGTGGGGGGTGAGAGAGAGAGAGAGAGAGAGAGAGAGAGAGAGAG